TCAAATAAAAACATGCCAACAATAGCATAATTCGGATAGAAAATCCAAACACTCATCTCGTTTGGGGAGGTTAGAGTTGGGGGGGGTGTACTTTGGCGAATGGCAATTTTGTCACTGTTGGGGGCCTCGATACAGCCACTAGATATCCTTCCCTTCCTCCTTCACACCCTCTCCTATCAGAAAGAGTTATTGTTTTGAAAGTCACTAGGACAACGATATTCCAAATACAAAGACGCAGTGAGCATCTGTTTCCGCAGCGGGGTCAATCACCGACGCCCGCTCCGCGCCTGGCCGCAGAGGCCCGCAGGGGGCGCACGCGGCTCCCGCAGCAAGGCCAGGCCTGGTGCTCTAAGAAGGGGAGCCCACATGCAGGGAGTGAGGGAGCCCACAGGGCTCGAAGCTTCAAGATAAAGAAAGACGCACCCTGGGCTTTGGGTGGCTTAGCTGCTACAATACAACTGCGCTATTGTTGCCGCTGTCCGTCCCAAACGTCATTTGCAAGCGGAGAGGGCGGGCTGGGTCTCTAGTGACCACTGTGCCCTGTGCCTGGCGGGTCGTTGCGGCTACAGGGGCCGCTCTCGGATGCTTCCAAAGCGATCGGGGCTGCGGCCGCTGGCGGAATAGCCACATTGTCTCTGGCAGGCGTCCTCGCTGCGCTGACACCAACGTCGCCACACAATAGCCATCAGGACTCCTCAAGCCCCCCAAGCAGGTGTCCCCCCCTCCCAGTCAATCCCATACTCATCCCCCCTCCCATCCCACACTCATACTAGCGGCCCCAGTCTCCGCCACACGCACACTTCTTCATGCCATGCGCACCTTCGTCTCCCCGCTGAGGTGTGTGCTTACTGCAGAGGAAACTATTGTCCCACTCCCTCGAGGGGACAGAGACAGGCTGTGAGAAAGGCGTCATGAGGAGCCTTCCTGGTGACTGTCTCCAAGAGCGAGACCTTTTGGTTTTGAAATCAGCTGGTGACTGTGTGAGGGTCCCCAGTCGGCTACCCTCGACGCATTGCCACCCTTCGCCCTGGGCGGGCTCTGGAACTCCTCAGTTTCCGCCTGACAACCGGCTGTCCCCCGAGCACGCTGGGAGGAGGCCATGCAAAGCCTTCGGAGAAGGCGCTCCCCGCGGGCAGCCCCCCTTGTCCCTGGGCTTGGAGGTGACACGGTCGGTCGCGCCCCGCCAGCCCTTTGTTCACGCCACAGCCGGCTGGGAGCAGCTGCGCTGCTGGAGACCCGCGGCGGCGCCGAGACGCGAAGCGCTAGGAAACCACTGAGCTTGACTCCTTCTCCCCCTACTCTTGGGCCCAGAAACCCTTCCAGCTTCCGAGTCCCACACGCCCAGCCCTGGCTTCCCTCCCTGCCCAGGAGTCTTGGAAGATTGAACTGCGTTTCCCAAGGCCCAGCATCGCACTCCTGCCTGGCTCCTGCGGCCCAGGGAAGTGAGGGGACAGTAGAAATGTCACCCCCTGGGATAAATATTAACAAAAAAGTAAATGGACTTGTGTGGGGGCCAGTTATCAATCAACCAGGCTGCAAGGCCACTCAGGGCAAACATGGCCCAGGTTGGGCCGGGTGAGACTTTCTCATGGCCGCCTTCCGACGGAACCCCCCCAACCCTCCGGGCTCAGGTCCTCCCCCCAGTCGTTCTGGGGCAAATATGGGACAGGAAGAGCGTGCAGTTCTGGGTGCTGGTGGCCAGGCCCACTCTCCTGCGTTTGAAGGTTTCCTGGTCTCCAAAGCGGGCAGAGTCGGAGTGGCCCAGCACCCACCCCCGCCCAAACCTCTGGCCTGCGCGCCGCTGCCTCTAGGGTCTGCGGTGCTGTGCCCACTGGTGGGTGTGTGTCGCTGCCTTTTCCCGCGCTGGCAGCTCCTGCGGGGTGGCCGAAGCCTTCTGGAATCTTTAATTGGTAACTAATCTCCCATCTTGATAGGCGCCCACGTCAGAGACGCAGGACTGACCCATCAGCCCACCCCACCCGGGACGACACGTGGCGGGAACCCTGTCGCGCTGCGTTTTAATGGGGCAGCAGCAAGTATTACATTGAGGGAACATATATTGATTTTTTTTAAAGGTAGTTAATTTGGTGAGAATTTCCTCCTGTCGTCAGTCCTCCACCAGCCGCTGTAATTTCGTGACCCGGAGGCGCCTCCCCAAACACACTGCCACGTGCGGAGGGTTTCGACCCTCTGCAACAAGCTGCGCTGGACTCGGGGCTCAGAGAGGGGCGTGGGGAAGTCACCCTCCCACTGCGGAGCTAAGGAACCCAGCTCGGTGCGCCCTGGCCTAGGAGGGTGGTTGGGACGAGATTGGGGGAGGGTCTCTGGGCACACCCTCGAGCAAAGCTGCAAGGGCACCTCCGCATGTGGGAGCTGGCGGTGAGGGGCAGGCACTAACGTCCCCCAGCCGGCCGAGGCGCCCTGCAATCCGTTTTAAGGCTCCTGCACTCAGGGCTTGCTAGAGGTTATTTGGAGGGTTCAGAAAACGATGACACTTTTCTTTTTAAAAAATGTTAACGAGACGGGTTGTTGTTCTTCAGTGACTTAAAATTAGATTTCGGCTTTTGCCGCTTGGACTGGATTGCTCCAGGTTCCATGCAGGAGGCCCTCCCGGACCAGCGGAGCCCTCCCTACCACTCCTTTAAGTTGAAACAGAAATGGAAGTGACACGCTTCATCCAGGTCTCAGGACGCGGGGTTCTCTCGGTACTTGGCGCCAAATGCCTGTCCTGCTGGCCTCCGATTTTCCACTTTTTCGAGGGAAAGGCGTGCGCTGGGGGCCGAGGGCTGCAGGGCTCTCCATAGGCTGCTGGGTGCGCAGGCAGGGTCTCTTTGATGACCTCCTGGGTCCTTTGAGCACCTGCCGGGCACCGGTCCGCGCCTCCAGGGCGCGTGTCCCAGCACTTAGGCCCCCTCCCCCGCCACAGTGGCGTCCCGGAGCTCCGCTCTCCACGCTCAGAGGTCAGAGGGTGTTTGCGCCGGCAGGTTTCCGAACATCCGGTCGTCTTTTAACAAAACGTGTCAGTCTGTCCTTCCGGGAAGCGACAAGAGGCAGTGGAGGGAGGAGGGTCACTGAAGTCCGGAGCAGCGCAGTCACAGGGTGTGCGTGGGGGAACCGAGCTTTCCGGGAGGGGTACCCTTCTTCATTTCCACCTTCTCCCCACATTCCCACGTGCCACTCGCTGGCCTCCGCGGTCGCTGCCTGGGTAAATGGCCCTGAAGCCGGCTCTGGGCCGGCGTGGGGAGTGTGAAAAGGCACTACCTTGGGCATCCGCAGACCTGAGCCGTCAGGGCGAGCTGCAGCCCCCTGGCCCGCCCCCTCCGGCACCTCAGCTACCCGCAGGGTCCCGGTGAGCCCACGGGGGGCGATATGGTACCGGCGGCACAGGGCAGTGGAAACGCGGGGACTTGGGATTTGCGGGGTCACACAGTCAGCATCACCCCTCCCTCTCCTGTCTTCCTACCCGCGCCTCACCTGGCTCCCGGGCTCGGGCGGGCGGCAGGAGCCTGCGTGAGCACTTTGCTTGGAGCGAACCGGCGCGGGGAAACCTGGCAGGGCAGAGGCTCAGCCAGCTCAGCGCTCGGACCCGGACCCAGGGAACGCTTGGGGTCGCTCCGGGGCTCGAATCGCAGGCTCAGGGGCACCTGCCACCCCCCAGCTTCTCATTGGCAGGCACGAGGTGGGGGAGGGGGCTTCGGCCTCACGCTTTGATTTTAGTCTGTGAAACGGCTCAGTGCCCCCGGCTCAGAGCGGATTGACTGTCTCCCGTTCTCCAGGGACGAATTAATGGAGAACGATGAGTTAATTAACAAACCCTCATTCCGGCTTTTACCTTTTCTCTTCGCTAAGGCTCAAGCCTGGGCGTCGGGCTGCGATGGGGGTTGAGGGAGGCACCGACCCAGTAGTCCATCGACTTGGCAACCGCCGCCCGGGTCTCATCAAATCCAGTCCGCCCTCGGCTGTCCTTAGCTCTGCCTCCCCGTATGTCCTTTGCCTTGGGGGTGGCCGAATTCGCCTGAAATCCCGAATGGGGTTCGGGCTGGGCTCAGCTGTCCCCTCGGCCTATCGGCCGTCTGGAGCAGCCAGGCATGGCGCTTGAGCAGCGAGCGCCGCGGGGACCTTGCGGCTCCGCTCGGAAACCCCCGCGGCTCGGGGGTTCGGGCCCGGGATATCTCTGCTCGCAGACTTGGGGGGTCATATACACACTTCCACCTGGCTGCACAGGGATTCAGGCGAACATCACTTACAGGATTAATAAGACGAAACGCAATGTCCTGAGAGAGTCGGCCGCGAAGGCAGACCCTGGGCTGGTCCAACGCTCTGCCGCTCCCCCCTGGCCCTCAGCACCGTCTGTGTGCCCCGCTCTCCACTGCCGGCTCCTCGCCCAGAATGCGCGCTAAGCTTACACCTTTCCCGCACCACACACCCACCGCCCAGCGGCTTCGGAACTCTTTGCCCGCACTCTTAGATTGCGAGTTCCCAAGCCTACCCAGCGCCAATAGAATGAGCGCGGGAGAGGGTCACCGCGGCCAGTTCAGCCAAACGGTGACTCAGGTCTCGCAGGCTCCAGCCCAGGGACGCGTATATGCCAGGGGCACCGGTTCCAGCTGTGCACAGTTCCACGCGCAAGTCGCCTCCCTCTTCCCAAACCTAGGGTGCTCAATTGAGAAGCGGCGCGCAGACCGTGTCTGGCCAGGTGCGGGATTTCTCTCAGCCTCTGGCTGCACCAGCTTCCAGAGCTGTCCCCAGCACAAACGCGCCCCGCAGTCGCCGAGGCCGCGCCGCTCAGCTCTTTGAGCCTTCCACAGCCCAATGCACTGAGCCCTGGAGAAGGCGATCAGCTCCCCGAGCGGTTTGCCCGCCCTTCTAAGCACAGGGACCCACTCCCCCCTACCTTGGGGAAGGAGGGCGAGATGAAGCGAGCCCAGCCCCCTCTCCTTCGATCCCTTGGCTTCCGCGTCCCTTATCTCCCCTCGCGCCCAGCTCCTTGGCCGGCTCACCTGCTAAGCGGAGCGCTGACATGCGCTGGAACTCCGGCTCCTGCAGCCACTTCCACATCCTCCGGAAGGTTTCCCGGCCAGATTTGAGTTTGCTCCAGGGTTTGGGGTTGCGCAGCAGGTCCGAGAGGGTCCCCTGGGAGCGGCAGAGCACCCTCTGCGCGAAGATGGCCTGTGGGATGCTGTAGCGTTTGAGCTCGGTGGTGATACGCTGCGCCACCTCTTTGGTATTGATCTCTTCCATCTGCCCTGAATTACTTCCATTGCTGACCTGCGCGCCGGTCACCGAAGGGTTGGGCTCCCGGGCTGTGCTCAGCAGCTGCCCGTGGCCCTGAGCGTTCAGGTGGGCATGGGGGTGGTGCGGAGGAAGGCCGTTAATGGGCACCATGCCGGCCGAAGTGGGCGTGAGGTGCTGTTCTCCGTGGCGGCTGAGCATGGCCGGGTGGTGGGCTTCAAAGCCGTTGGGGGTGAGCATCTTGTCGGTGGGCATGGCGGCACCCGGGTGGGCATAGTGGGGGAGCCCTTGCTGGGAGTTGTGGATGCTGCCCAGACCGGAGCTGGAGAGGGGCGAGAGGCTCTGGCCCATGCCGGCCACGTCCTTGTGGTAGGGGGTATAGAGGTTATTCATGGAGGCCAGCCCGCGCTCGTCCCGCATGAGCGTGAAGCTACCGCTCACATTGCCCGCCAGGCGCTGGTGGTGGTGCGGGTGGTGGTGGTGGTGGTGGTGGTGGTGATGGTGGGGAAACTTGTCCGAGACTGTGGAGATGGGCGGCAGCGGCTGCAGAGGGGTTAAGGTGGTGTAGGTGGTGGGCATGCTCATACCTGGGGGAGTCTCGCAGGCCATGGTCATAGTGGGGTGCAGGGGGCCGGCCAGGCTGTGCTCGGGGGCCCGGTGGTGGTGGTGGTAATCGCCGCCGCCGCTGCCGCCGTCCAGCAGGGACGCCATGCCCATGGAGCGCGGGTGCGCCGGGGGCAGGTGGGTGCCGCGGTGCGCCACGGAACTGCGCGCGTGGGGGCTGCCGCCCAGCAGGTCGGCAGGGGCGGGCACCGGCTCATGGCTCACCCCGTGCAGCTCGCCGATCGCCTCCATAGTCAGCTGCGCGTTCATCGTGATCCTGGCGAGCGGGCGGCGGACACAACATCGATGTGGCCGGGCAGAGGCAGCGAGGGGCGCACGGAGTCCTGTCTTCACATTGGCTGCCGGCGACTGTTGCCTGCCTTCCTTCCTTCCTCTCACTGTGGGGCTCTGTCTCTCTGTCTCTGTCTCTCTCTCTCTTTCTGTGTGTGTGTCTCGCCTTCCCTCTTGCCCCCACCTTCCCCTCTGCGTCCTCGGCTTTTTTTTTTTTTTTAAATATTAATTTCCAAAAAGGATCCGCGCGGTTGGGAGAGCGCGGTGCCCCCAGCCCGCCCGCCCCCGGCCCCCTCTCGCCCCTCTCCTTAGAATTGTGCGGCCCTCGGCTCCCCTGACGCGGCCAGCGCGCCTGCCGCGGCTGCTGCCTGCCAGCGCCACTCGCCAGCTTGAGCCATGGCTCGGTTACTGTTGCAGACTCTGTGGCTGGGGTTCGGTCACCGCCGCTGCCGCCGCGGCCCGCCCTCACGCCCGCCGGGCGCAGCGCGCATGCGCGCAGTCCGGCCCCGCCCCCTCGGTCCCCGCGCGCCCGGCCCCTGACGTCCCCGTACAGATGAAGGAGGGGGTCCTGCGCCTTCCCCGCGGCGCCGGATGGCGGGGTAGCTGCGGGCACGGGCACGTGCGAAGGACTGGCACAGAGCGCGACCTGGGCCCGCCGCCGCAATCCCGGGGGACTCGCGCCCCGCTTGCCTCCCTTGCTTGGGTGGACTCTCTCCTCCCGGCGCCAGGATGCTCCTTCCCGGCTCACCTCGCAGCGCGCTGCGCTTGGAGAGCCATCGTCCGTCTCTCTCCAGTAGCTGCTTCCCGGCGCAGGTTGCCCGGGGAGCTGGGGACTGTGTCATTATCCCCTCCGCTCTGGCCCACTGAGCCTAATTTCCTGGAGGGCTGCTAGGAGTCCGCGCTTTCCCTACCTTTAAAATGCTCGGCCTATGGTGGGGGCGGGGGGCGACGCAAAGAGCCTCGAGGCCTGTGTCAGCTTGGCGGCTGTTGACTCGGCACCCTTCGTCCTCCCAGATACTAACTCATCTGCCACCCTTTCTCGTCCATGCCTTGAGGAGTGGAGCACTCTGTGCCAGGAGTCCCAATCCGGGCCATACCTCGCTGTGCCCCGCCGCCCGGGTCCTTCTCCTGTTCGGCTCATAATTAAGGCTGCGCGTCCGCTTCGTCAGTGACTCGGTCTGTGGGGGTTGAGAAGAGGGGAGGGAGTGCCCCGGTGGGTGCCCGTGTTAACTTCCGGGTGCTGGTGGGGCCGCCGAGGCTAGAGCGGTTCCTGCGGTTGCTCCAAGGCCCTCCTGGTAAAGCACCCAGAGGCAGCTGCTTTCGAGAAGCACTGACGCAGTCAGGGTGGACGCGGGCGCGCGGGTCTCCGCTTGGTCCGTAGGGACGCTCTTTTCCCGGCGTCCCCGAGAGAAGCCTCTGGATTTGAAAATCAATTCAGCTTCGGGAGTAATTGCGCCTTTCCCACAGTCACGCTCCAGTCCGGAACCGAACCTGGTCCTTGGGCCTGGTGGGTACGCGTGGGGAGGCCCCCAGTGTGGGACGTACACCCGGCCACCACATGCCGCGGCTTTCTTTCATTTACAAAAGAAAAAAAAAATCCGTAACAAAAGGCAGAGCCGTGTCCGCTTAGGTGCTTTCATGCCTCGGCAGAAAGGACAGATGTGCCCATTGTCCCGGCCCGTGGCAGTTACGCCGGGTCATCCATGAGCCTCAGCCCCGGGCAAGGAGTGGTCACAATGGGAACAGCCTCTCAGAGCCTGGGTATCAGGGCCCAAATATGGACCCAGTGTGAGCAGCCTGTTCTAGGCCAAACTCAGACTGTAGGTTTGTTTGCTGGGGCACCGGGCGGCAGCTCACCAGCAGTATTTCCACGCAAATGTTCCCAGACCCTCAGAGAGGCCAGGGTTGTGATAGTGGTATTAGTCGTGGTTGGGTTCCCAAGGCAAAAGCTTGGCTGGCCAAAAGTTGGAGAGAAGTTCCCATCAACCAAGGCATGAGCAGGCTCATCTCCTTGTCCCTGCCACCACCAGGGCACCATCATGATCCAGGCAGGTAAGGTACAGTGGGTATGGTCAGTAGGTACAGTCAACCTGACTTCCTTGAAAGTGGCCTTGTCTTGAACTGGCTAATCTGGCTGGTTTTTACCACCTGAGACACTTCCATCCTGTGCAAACAAAGTGAATGGAGGCCCTGGAAGTGGGAGTCCATCTCAATGGATTTCACATCTACTTGCATAATAAACATTTAGGAATTTAGGACTGCCACAGAAGAAAAGGTCTTTGGGAAAAATACATATTGACATAAAGGAACTCAGAAAACACAATTACTCTATTCAAATTTATATCTATAGCTACTTATTCACCCACGCATACACACAAGCATAAAACATATATTTTCTGCCTAGTAGATCTCAATATGTTGGCAGGCAGCTGCATCCTTGGTGGTTCCTTATTCTTTCTGTTCTCTTTTCCTGCAGCATAGAGCATGGGGCTTTGCTATGAGACCAAACAATGGGTTAAAGCATTGGGCAGCCTTGGAACTAAACTGTTGTCCCACCACCCTCAATATTGTAATCCCACTGAAATGATTGATTTGCCCTTATGACAACTGTCTTCCCAAAAGGCATTTTGTTAAAAGAAAGAAAGCAGTAAATACCACCAAGTGCACAAATTGTTCATGGTTTTCTCTTTGTGTAGCTAATTAGGAATTTGATCTTGGAAACCCTCCTTCATGTGAGGCTCTTGGATGAGCCCCTGGAGTCCACCTGAAGAAGGCTGGGATCAGGTGAGCTCAGCTTCCCCCACTCCCAAGGGGCTTTATGAAAAGGGGGCCTGGTTGCTCCCCAAAGGAGGAGCTGAAGGAAAGCTCTGGAAAAGCATAATGTGTGGGGTTTGCTCACTTTAATGTTTCTTTTGACTTTTTCCCCCTAAAACATTAAAAAAAATTGTGTGTGTAGGACTTGCTTTAGTTTGCAAGTCTCCCTTATCTTTCTTGGCTATTCATACCATTTATTTAACCATTGAGTTCCCTGATAATTGATGGAATTACAGTGATTTCTCAGTCAGAAACATATTACTGTATTCTTACTTGACATCTCAGAACATTTTCCTCTTACTAAGTATGTGTAATGAGTAGGAAGGATGCTCTTCCAGGCCTAGCTCAGGTGAGTGTGCATGTGTGGGGGAGGAGGGGCACTGGAGAGGTTGTCCACTGCTGGAAGGCTGGGCTTGCTTTTTGTCATTTTGTCCCTCTCCTTCCTTCCCCCTTCCAATGCACAGCACAAAGCCTGGCACCCATTAGACGCACTATGGGGAATGAAGCAATTAAGGGTCCAAGTAGGAGTCTCTTGAAAATTGGGAGGTCAATGTGTGTGATTGAGGGGAGGACTTATGGTTAGCTGCTTACATTTTGTGTAGCTGCAGGGGATTTAAAGAAAAAAAAATAGTGTCAATCACCAGCAGAAAATTACATACATGAATATAGGTAAGAAAAAAGGAAATAAGACTTGACTGGATACTTGTTGCTGGCAGTATTTTCAGTGTGGAAACAAGGATTCCAATATATTTATATTATGAATGTCAAGGGAAAAGCCTGGGAAGTGAATGGGCAAGCACAATCCTTCTTATGCTGGCTGGGCTAGAGCTTGCCAGGCGACACCACCAGGCTTAGAAAAGAAAAAGAGCATAAGGCCATCCCTCCAAAGGCCCGTCACACTAGCTTCTCTGAAAACCTTTCATCAGTTCCGTATTAATTCTTTAGTTCTATTTGTGAGTAGTGGGGATGTAACATATGGCCCAATCCCGGTTTTCAGGACCATTTCAAAGAAATGTTTCTCGCCCTTCTGAATCATCAAATGTTTACTTCTCATTTGTTGGCCTTACAAACAGCAAGCCTGGATGTCAGTGCAAATTCCTGTACCCAGGGCTCCAGAGGGAGATTGACTCCTTGGGTAGAGCCTGAGAAACCAACTCACCAGCATTTCTTATGCCTGTAGCCAGTCTAGAATTAAGCTCCTAGTAAGGACCCATCTCTTTGGCTACAGTAGACACTTGATAACTGGGGCTGAAGGATTTGGTCCTGGCCAGGCTCTCCTGTCTTTCTCTGGAGTCGGGCCTCTGAAGAAATTTTATTCAGAAAATTGCTGTTGGGTTAGAATAGAACACCAAGAACTTTAGACAGGGGTGGTCTGGTGATTCTTAATGAAATGCATTTTAAAAAATTAATCACTGCCTTCTCTCCACTCTCTGGGAGAAGGATGTAGTAATCAATTATTCTAGCCCTCTTTTTTCAATCTTTGATCTTCTATTTAGCATGTAGTTTTTGCTCATCTGTTTGGTTAACTTTCCCTCCTTTTTCTTTCTTAAATCAGGGTTTTTGCTTATGAAAATATTTTTCAGCTGGGCATTATTGTTTTTGCACTTTCCTTTGTTTCGTTTTCTTCTCGCCTCTCCAACCCCCAAAGAGAAGATGCTCTGCCAAAGGGCTGTCAGCTCGTGCCAACCCCAGCTGACTCTGGGTCCTAGGAGCTGTCAAAGGGCCTGGGCGGCCATCCGAGGAAGCCAGACCACTCTGCACGCAGCTCTGGTTACTTCTTAGGCAGAGTCAGAAAACCACTTGCTCTCCTGGGCCCTCAGGTGAACTAGAGATGGCTTCTCCTGGGTTGAAATCCCTTCCCGCGGTTGCTTACTTCGGCGAGGACTTTTCAAGGCATCAAGCCGACAGAGCTGAAGGGAGAAGGGGTGTCCTGATGCTGTGGGGCTGAGGCAGGGGTTCGAGGCTCCCAGGAGACTCTCTGGCAGCAGGACCCCGAGCTGGATGCAGCCAGCCTGGCTCCTGGGGGAGTTGGCCTTCACTTGCCAACCCTTCAGTTGATTTTCTTTCTTGGTCATAACTTTATATCGTTGAAGTATATTACAAAGGAGACCTGCCCGGGCCGCGGGTTAGGGGGTCGATGACTTGTCCAGAATCGGGGTGGCAGTTAAGGCTCCTCTTCCAGTGCTTCCCCATCTGGGGCTCTGCGCTGGATTAGCAGCGCGCGGAGGTAGCGAGTGCCAACGCTGGGGGCTGGAAAGGACAGGGACAAGGAGGAGGCGCCCTCGCACTGGCGCAAAAGAGGAAAACTCAGAGCGAGCGCGCAGGAAGGGGACGGAGGGGGGGGGATGCAAAGTCAGTTCAGGAGATCTCCAGGTGCCCCACTCCCTCACCCTGGAGAAACAAGGAAGGGCGGAAGTCCCAGGTCGCTGCCTAGCTGGAGCCTCAGGTCCCTGGGGCTT